TGATGAGGGGACTGGAGCATCTCTCCTCTGAAGAAAGGCTGAGAGAGCTGGGCCTGTTGAGCCTGGAAAAGACTGCGAGGGGATCTCATCAATGCCTACAAGTATCTGAAGGGCGGGTGTCAGGAGGATGGGGTCAAACTCTTCTCAGTGGCACCCAGTGACAGGACGAGAGGCAACGGGCACAAACTGAACCACAGAAAGTTCTGTCTGAACATGAGGAAAGACTTCTTTCCTGTGTGGGTGACAGAGCACTGCACCAAGTTGCCCAGAGAGGTTGTGGAGTCTCCTTCGCCGGAAATATTCAAAAGCCATCTCGACACAATATTGGGCAATGTGCTCTAGGTGACCCTGCTTCAGCAGGGGAGTTGGACTAGATGATCTCCAGAGGTCCCTTCCAACCTCAACGATTCTGTGATTCTAACCAGTTTATAGTGGTTGAAGGATGGAGTAAGCTTATGGAACCAATTCCACTGAAGTTTATTGAATACATAAAACTCACATCCAGCTCAAAACACCTCCAAGGTGATAATCACTGGTAGGCTTAGAAAGCATAAGAGAATGTGTCATATACATCTGTTCCATTTTTACACTCTTTTCAGGCACTGACTCATGGCTGCTGTTAGAGATAGAAGCCTGGGCTAGAGAAACCTTTAATCTGATCCAGCACAGCCACACTTAGAAAAACAAAAGTGCAGAATGTATCACAGCACTATCCTGCTGCTAATATTTATAGTTAAAAAATTTAAGGAGGAGGGCAAACTTAATAAAAATGGAGAACTGCAAAAAAAGACTACAGACATGCATAAAAGCACATTAAGAATAGATAGCAAAAGAATACGCTGCTTCCTGTCTCTGCAACCAACAGAAACTATGATCAAAAATATTCCATCACATTAACCTTTCAAAACATTAAATGCAAGCTTGTTCCGAGGTGGGGTCAACTGCCATTTATATATACCTGTATTGACATAAATCAATTACATATAAGTCAGTCATGTGCTTGCATCTGCAACACTATGATGCCTTATGTATCAATAAGAAGTGGACAGGTTTTCCTATTGTTCATAACTAAATGAAATATAAAAAAGCATTACCAATCTAGTTTTAAAATTAATTTTCAATAACTTAGATTACTATTAGCAGCCAATTGTAGCATCTTACATTAAAGCTTCATTTCTGCTAGAAAACAGTTCTTTCACTGTTACTGATATTTTATATTTGTTAAAGGCATTATGTTCCTGGAAGCTGGAAGATACTATACAAACTTACATATAGCTACAAATAAGGTAAATCTAACCTAATAGCTTATTCATATGGTTGCAGACGCCTCATATTGTATCAAATGCTTCCCCTCACACTCTAAGGCTTCTAACATATTTTATAAGACAAAGTATTGACACTTTGGGGAATTCAACAGTACTCAAAGTTATAATGCTCAAACTCAGTCTTCCTTTGAATTATTGAACAGATGTCACTTACCATTGGCTTCCAGATCCTGCACTAAGGCATGGGTATCAAAAGTTACCTTCCTCTGTTCCAGGGGAGTGATTTCAACTCTTCTCACATCATAAGACTTCCTAAGAGCTGTGGCAGCAAAACCTGGAAGTTACAACATATGCTTTAAAACCATCTGGTTCTTTCTTCAGTTTATCATGAATAGAACAACTTTAATTCTTTTCATCACAGAAAAGAAAACAAAGTTGCATGAAAGCTGCAACAAAAAATGATAAGTCCTTTTGACAGTTTGGTTATAACACACACCCGTCCATCCCTTTCCCAAAGGAATTTTGTGCCAGCTAGGGGCCATACATCAATCCTAAGTCCATTTATATAAGTATGGAGCTGCGCAACAGACAAGCATCTTGACACACCAAAAATTAAAACATTATGACTAATAATTTTGTAATATATGAAAAACATCATTTAAACCATGCTCCTACTTTTAAAACATTAGCAGTTCTAACACATCGACAATTTCTTGCTCCCATAACCACGTTCTCTTTACACCTTCTTCTTCTATTACTACCACTACCAGCAAGAGAGCACCATGTGTAAAGATCCAGCTACTGAATTTTTAAAGACTAAGCAGGTCTGACATTCAGAATGAATTTTCTGGTTCAACAGTACGGTAACTGGGAAACAAAGCAAGATGATGTTAGTAACCTAATACCTATGATCTCCCAAGTTAGGAATCCACAGCACCTGCTACGCGAAGGCCCTCCT